GCTCTACCTTATCATTCGCTCTACCTTTTTTATTCGTTAACCTAGTTAATTAGAGCCACCAATAGGTTATTAACCTATTTATCCTTTTATTGTCAGGAAATGTTTTGGTTAATACAAAATTTGCGGTATTGCCTCCCTGTGTGAGGTATTTTTTACTTTTATGCCTAAAAGTGCCCGCGGCCTCCTCAAACACATTTCATGGTATTTCTAGCCCGCTGGTTGGAGCAGGGATCGCGACGGTATTTGTGTCAATTCTTCCGATAAAGCGCTCGTAAATATGCTTTTAGTAAGAATTGTTCTTCTATACAAGGCTTCCTACGCGGAGGAATATTAAGTACGCAGTGTACACGAAGGGGCAATGAGGCCTTGAAATAGATGTATGCCTTTCGTGACCCGTAGTTGTAAACATTATCTGGGACAAGGTGGATGGTTTCTTCGACAGAAAGTACTCCAGCTCCGACGTGCCTTCTGTTTAATTCACTCCTTCAGTACCCATGTTCTAGTTTTGTTAGACAATTGCTGGCCTCTATTGGGAGCGAATGATGTCAAACTTTCAGCGACCCAGGACACTTGAGTGTTTGAATTCCTCCGAAGATGTTTAATGTTTAAGATCTCGATATTGAGATCACTCTGGTTCTGCTATGGAAGCCAGTAGCAAATCCCTCTCCCAGTCGTACATTCCATCGTATTATCGTGGTATATTGGTATTCAACGCAAAACTGCGGTGAAAGGTAAGAACCAAAGAACAAAGAACACGGTCGCTTAAGTAAGGTCGGGATTATGCCGTTACAAAAATATGATGATATTGAAATACTAAATATGTTTATTCGACCTTCTGACGTATGTTTGAGACGAAGTTCCTGGCGGCGGGTATCAAACTCTCCGCCTCTTAACCGAACGTGCTTCGCTCCGTCGCGCGCTTCGTATTTATAACAACTCGCGCTCTCTTTGAAGAAGAAGAAGAAGAAGAAGAAGAAGAAGAAGAAGAAGAAGAAGAAGAAGAAGAAGAAGAAAGAAGGGGGAAAGGGGGTGGGATCGTAAAGCCCTGCTCTCAGACATTCGGCATTCGTTCGCGCGGCCTTCTGCCGCGAGGCGGGAAAAGACGGGGCGGGACGGGGCGGGGCGAGAAGAAAGCGTGGGAGGGGCGCTGATCCGATGCCCTCGCGACGTTCTCACCGCAAGGAGGTTGCGCGCGCGGGTTGGGCGGCACCGCAGGGCGCTACCCTCGCTCCCCCATTCCCCCGACACGCCTACAGTTGGATGCTGATGATGTGATATATAGTGCCAAATTGTAAATGGTTTTCACACTTTTCGGTGAAACAGATTTCTATTGGCATCAGCCCAAAGAAGTAATCAACCGTATCCTGAGCGTACGGGATATTTGTTGTTTTTAATGTGTTTTTCGAGATTGTTCCGTTGAGTCTATAGAAGTGCTACTGGCGTCACTAAGGTCAGAGTAAATTTTTACTGCGTTTTAGGCTTAGGATATTCGTTGCTAATTAGATCATTTACAGTTCACAATGTAATGGAAAACGAACTTCGTCGGGGAACTTTCGTATGGCGCTAATAGCTTGCGAGTTTGCAGATGAAGATCAGTACTTACCGCCTGTTAGAAATGACTAGCCTGCGCCTGGGGCTGCCTGCAATACAGCTTATTCCTTTGCGAAGTCCTCACTCTCTCGGGATACTGCAACGAAATAATTGTTTCACAAACCGTTCATATTTTAAGAAAACGTTTTTACAAAATTGTTTTGTGACAATGTGAAAATGTTCCTCCGTATTGGCCATAAAATGTATACATATTGTGTTTCTTGGTAAAAAAAAAAATTAAAATGCGTAATCTAAAGCTCAGTATCTGCGCTTGAGTAAACTTTGTCTCCAGGAGGAATTAATTGCGTTCCTATTTGTTATATTTTAAAGACGGTAACAGGAACTTTTCATTAAACCCAACAAATCAACATAAGTACTCAGATACTCTAAAGAAACACATATACTAATTTCTGATACTTTTTCACGAATGCAGAGATTGTTCCCATGGTTATTAATTAGCATTTGTATGATTACAGTCACTTAGTACCTTTAATATTAACGTAGAAAAATATACGAAAAAGAGGAAGGAATACGCTGTCATGATCGGAAAGTGCCCGGGAGATAGGGAGAAATATTCCCCAGCAGTAAAAATCTAGAGAGCAATGTGCAACTGAAGCGGTTTGAGAGTCACATTTCCTCTGGTGGTGGTGGCGGTGGTGGTGGTGCTGCTGCTGCTGCATTGATGTTATAGAACGCATGTTCCATCATGCTATTTTGTAAATGGGGCTGTGCAGGGCTTGCTAGTGAGCATGACTGTGGGGCGGGCCGCCTGTTCGCCCTACTTCGCTGCTCTCAGCGACCCAGCTGGCCCTGATGGCTGTCATTAACTTTTAATCTCCCTAAATGGTAGTAACGAGAATCATATTAGTCCCCATGCATAAACATAGAGCGTAAAGTCTGGAGTTGCGTTACGTAATTTTGAGCTTGCATAACATTCGGGGAGTGAGTCCACGCACGGGTGGCCCTTCCCGCTTCCTGACTTCACGATCGAGAGTTGTTTGCCGTTGTACTTAACACTACGAATGTTGCCGTTTCGAAGTGCGAGTTCCGGCGTGAATACGCGTTCACAATATTAACTCCACCAGAAAGAAGGTGGATTGAAGGGATCAACATTGTCATTAAAGGTATTTTTCAGTTCCGAAAAAAGTTCATTCAGTTTAGAAAATCCAAAATCAGTCTGCATAGAAAATAAAAAAAGCAGGTGTACATACAATTTTACTGCTCTGCCACAAATAAATGAAGTAATTAAATGCTAAAAATAAGTAATAAGTGAATAAACATTTCATTCCTCGTTTTTTGAGAGTTAGCGAAGGGTTTTGTCATCACAAACGGATCAGTTTGTTCATCACGGAGCTCATGTTTCTAATTGGGTAGCATTAGACACACGTCCATTCTTCTCGCGCTTCCATTTATTCACTCTCTCCCCTTCTCATTAGTACTATTCGTCAAGTTTCTTTACGACCGTAGAACCATAAAACGTCGAGAAGAGAGGCGACCCGAACTAGCCAGAGTTGGTGCACCGCGACAGCTAGTTACGACGTCGGAACGTTCAGGTTACTGCCACGTGGCGAGGGTAAAGAAGAGCATGTGGACGCGGTTGCACTAGGACTACCGGGGCGGGCGGTTCTGATTTGTCGAGGTAGGCTTATAACGAGAGGCACAGTGTGCGGAACTCCATTGTATACTGTCGAAGATAATGCGTTGATAGCATTTTAATTGCTGTGATCTCAAATGTAATGTACGAGTAGGACCAGAGTAAGTAACGAGGTAGTCGCTATGCAGGGAAAATAAGTGATATAAAAAGAAGTGAAAGGATGAATGCAAAGAAATTTTCATCGTCCTCTTTTACTTGCAGACGTAGAGTGGCGATTGCCAGTCTTAGTTTAAAGTATGCAAAAGTATTTGTTTATTATATATTTTGAACATCTCCAAGAACAAAGATAGCCAATTTCTTTTGCGCAAAATCTGTTTTTTGGTGCTCACTAATTTCAACTTGTTTGCGATCTTACGCAATACCCGAGTTACGTAAATTGATTAAAATCTTCGTCCCGTAAAATCATAATGGCTGTGCTTTATTAGAAAACATTTGTACCTATGATTCTATTGCAAACGCATTATATTTGGATGTAAGGTCTGAATTTAAATTTACTTCACTATTCGTAAATTTATTTAATTATTTCATATATTTTAATACAAGTTTTCCTTTTGCATTAGTATAATCCAATTTTTAAATCTGAACATTTTAACTAAATAAATGGAATTAAAATTGTGATTCTCCTCGTGTAAATTGTATTGGTTTATAAATAAAATTACTAATTGCCCATTGGAAATGACTGACAAACTGAATTTTCGTAAACGAGAAAATTAGATAAGTTAATCGATTTACTAAACACTTAATTGTAAATAATTCGCACGTACAATGTTCTTTAGGAGAAAAGAGTAACGAACAAAGGACGTGTAGTATGTCTCTCGACGGAACACTTTCCGACATTGAGGAGTTCAGACATCCTTTCTAGTGATACTGATTCGAAATTAGGAGCCCGCTTTTCTTCTGGTATTATTGACCGTCTCGACGTAGGTCTTTGGTTTCTGTACTCGGCCACGAACCATAATGCACTCGTATGGGCGGAGAGGCTGGTGGCTGCCTGGGCCTCGCAACTCTCTGTTCGACCCCGTGCTCGGAGACCACGAGCCGCGACGAACAGTCAAGAACGGAGCCTGCTGGCCTACATAACAACTGGGAGTATAAAGCGAGGTTTTGCCTTCTCGGTTACTTTCTAGTCGGATGACTTACTACTAGAGGTCTCGTTGCAACAGGCGAGGGAACCGGCGAGCTACGTTGTGGCCGAGAATTTTTGCGTGTTTGGAGAAACTCGCGTTCACGTCCACGTAGGAGTGAAGGGACGACGATGGCTTCGTGTTAATGGTGTTAAGAAAACGTGTTTATCTCATAATAGAATGCGTTTCTAGATTTATCGAAATGAAGCTTTTTGTTTGACATATTAAGTGCAGTCTTATTGTGTTGTATAAAATCGACTTTCCACACTCGAAATATTTTTCTCTTTGTCACCCACTAGGAAGGAATATTAAAACGATTAGTTGTGCCATATTCTTTATCGATCCCAAAATTATTTTCTTCTGTAGAAAGAGTGCGGGAAGAACGTTTATGTGCCCTCCGTGCTATATAACTGTGCACGAGATCCTTGCAAACACATTAGACTGAACGGTCATGCGACTGAGAGTTTGACTTTAATGTATATATGTTATAAGACACAAAATTTGAAATTCTGTTTTCAACGTTAGATATAAAATGTTTATTATCATTAAGCTGGGACTCTAAGTGCCAGTATGTAAAATTCTTTGGTATGTCGCCTCTGGGTCCGTATTCACTGTTTTTCTTCTCTTTTCAGGGTTTCGTAAATTCTGGCTACGGCGTCAATGGAATCGCACACGTGAGTATCTGCGACCACAGGGTTAATTTCTGTTTGAATTTGTGTTCTGTATAAGCGAATGTATTGTTTGTCGTCTTTGCACGTGTGTATTCCAGTTACTGTCGGATTTTTTGGTATACTTGTCTATTTGTGTAAATTAATGTTTAAGATTGGTTACATTTAGCTGAATTTTCCGTTTTAAATACAGGCGGCAATGAATCCACATTAGATTTTTTTGACGCTACAATGCTTGTGTTGAGTTTGTAGTTCATTATTCCAAGGAGATTAATTTGAATAGTAACGTTTGTATTTAAATTTATTTACTCGTGTCTCCGGGAGTTTCTATTTTTCGAATGAACGAATGAATATTCGTAAACATCAAAGAAACCGAAGAATACCCTCTTCTGTATTGATATTTGTGTCAACTGCCATATAGTGGAAGCCTGCAGTCTTCCGAGTAAACAAATTCATTTTTTTCTCAAAGAGTCTTTCGTTAAAACGTACTATGAACATTATTCATATTGCATTGTGCTTCATGCCTTCAGTTGAACCGTTTGGATAATGATTACTGTTGTTTAATATTTGTTATGTCTTTTTTTCCTTTGGAGTAGAAATGGATATACAAATATTAGGTGGCATACAGACGTCATTGAAAGGATGTACTTCCAGATAGTGTTTTTTTAATGTAATCTCGGTATTAAGATAACGAGTACAATGGGAAGGTTGTTTCCTGGGGACATCTTTGTGGGCGAAAAAATCCGGGAAATGACTCATACTTCCAGGAAGTATAGTAGCTTCGCGACATCGCCCCTCCCTTGGCATTCACACATGATGAGATTGTTTCAATTTCCAGTCATTTGGGCAGAAGGGTGAGATTTCGTCTTTATTTGATGGGTGAAAACATTCATTTTTCGAAATATTGATGTATTCACCATTACATATTTCAGCTACTTTATTATATGACGAGCAAAATGTATTACTGCTGTTGGCAAAATTGTTAAATGGTTAACCCACAGCTCGGAATCATTTCAAAATCCAATTTGAAAGGTATGGTATATCAGAGAATCGTTTGCAAAGGTAAATGTTTTTGTTTTCTGTCGGGGGCATGGGGGATTCAGTGTTCATTTTCCTGCTTATTACAGAAATCGATTGTATCTGCTATTGATATCTTTCTTGTAAAGAAAGGTTGGCTAATTACCATAAACTTCAATAAGCGGTCGTGTCCTTCAACTGCAAGAAGCGGTCGCTATGCTAGATTTGTGTAGTTCAGTGAATATATTAATTCAAGTTCTTAATGCTAATACGATGATTTCTACGTGCGATAAATTTGTGATTCATGTCAAAAAATTGTGAAATTCACAAAAACATTCATTGGTAATTATTTTTCCTGCCACCGAATGAAGATGTCATATTACCATTTACTGCGCGTTCGTTTTAGCATTTACTCAGCCTCACTCAACAATATAATTTACATTCGTTTCAATGTGAAACGGTCATCTCTTTGAAATATGAAATGCAGCTGTCTGCGATAGACACCAGCTCTGGCTCATAAGACTTCAATAATGCAATATGATTTCACTATGCCATTTCAAATACACGTTCACATGAATATGGTTTAATTCGAATTATTATCAATTATTCGTTGTCCGATGCATATGCGTCGCAATTAACTGCCCGGTGCTGTGCGGCTCCGAGATAAAATTGCAGGATAAATGCAGAGGGCGCGCAGTCGCTGTCAGGCTGTCGCTCAGGGCCAGCGTCCTCTGGTTCCGCTCCGGGATCAATATTCGGCAATAAAACAAGAGTTCTCCGTAATTCATTAGTTTTACCTATTGGAGCGAACAAAATACGCGTGGCCGGACGGCGCGCTGTAATTGCACGGGGGTGGGGGAGCGGGGGCGAACGCAGCCGGCGACCGGAAAGGACGACGTGACCTGAGCCGGCTGGCCGGGCTGGCTGGCGGGCGAACGAGCGAAAGAGCGAACGAGCGAAAGAGCGAACGAGCGAAAGAGCGAACGAGCGAACGAGCGAACGAGCGAACGAGCGAAAGAGCGAACGAGCGAAAGAGCGAACGAGCGAAAGAGCGAACGAGCGAAAGAGAGAACGAGCATGAGAGGGAAGGGCAACGAGAGGGGGGAAAGAGAATGAATGAAACGATTAGAGAGCGAGAGGGCGAACTCGTGGTCTCGTGAGATGACGGAAGAGAGATTGGAGGATTGGGGTTGGGGGAAGGACAGGCGAACGAGCGAAGGAGCTAGTGCGGATTACCAAACGATCCGACGGAATAGAAGGTGGATGAGACGGGTGGAAGCAACAAGAGAGCAAAGGCGTTCCCATTGGTATATCGACAGAACAATGATGGTAGTGATGAACGAGAGTGAACATTCACAACCGGAGACGGCAAGCGATTCCGTGAGAGTACTTGCCGGGCGAGGATGAGTTTCAAGTGCGGACGGACGCAAGCAGAAAGTGGGAAGGCACTTGGGTGATCATCAAGTATGCATAATAGGACCGTACGCCGAGGACTGAAATAGAAGCGTAAAACGGGGTTGAGGTAGATCACGGAAGGCAACGACCCTTGTGGAGGGCGTTGTAAGAAGTAGAAACGGTGAGGACGATGCGAGGAGCTCCTTTTTCATGTGACGGGGGCTATATAAATAGCCCAAGGTGTGGGTGGCGAGGGGTAGTTCGGACGGCTGACGTTTGCTCGGTAATTGAATCGGGAAGATGCAATAGGTGGCAGCGACGATACGATGTAGGCGTGATCCTTCGTATTCGTCACGTTGAAGTGGGGTTCAAATGTGCAGTTAACCGTAGGGAGGTGGAAATGTCGAGACAATTTTGTGTTCCTACAGCAAATTCAGAATGTGAAAGAAACTGCTAGCTGATAAAACTTGCTTGAGAAGAATAATGCTACATTGCTCGATTTATTTTGAAATAATAAATGACCAGATTGTAATTGAAAGTTTAAAAAAAGAAATTGTATAACATTTATTAATCTCATGAAATAAATTAAGTATAATAAAGGTATGTTCAGGTGTCCGGCGTTACGTAGACGATCAATGCATATCACGCACAATAAATGACTAATCATACGTGACATGTCATGTATTCCTCGAATAAGCGAAGCGAAGTCAAGTCGTCTGGAGCAAATTTCTCTGTCGTGTGGACCAGCTCACCGAGTTGGGCTGCAGGGCGCCCGAACTTACGGCGCTCGAGAATGATGCTCTAAAGCGAATAAACGAAACTCCTTGTAGCCCTCAGTTGTACATCGAAATGCCGTCGCCGCGGCGGGCGGTCGTCGCACGTACCGATGCGGTGAGGTGCGCCTGACCTCCGCGTGCTGTGCGAGGATGCCGCGAGTGCCCTCTGCGATGACGAGGCTGTGAACTCACAATTACTGATGCGACATCAATAACGAAACATCGATGTTAGCAAAAATCTATGTTCAAAATGAAAAAAAAAATCGATTTTAAAAATACATCGACTAAAAACCATCGATGTTTTTACACTGGATTAATAATCTCTAACATTAAATTCGAGTACATTAAAATTGAATTTGATCGTGTTTATCCAGTCGCCGAAAAAGGGAGACGAAGGAGCAGACCATACGCGCACAGCGTAGTTGTTGACCATATCTCGGTGTACGAAATGAATAAGAAGAAAGAGGAAATACAAGAGCATTGAGGTCATCTCGAGCGAGAGAGTTAGGTCGATGCAAATCGCGTTGCTTTCGTTTCAACACGTGAATAATAGTGTTACTACCATTTACTATTTCGTATTTTAACTATTACAGTATTGTGATCAGTGGGATTTTTCCTTCAGAAACAAAACATTGAAAAAGAAAAAAGCATTGGTGTTAAAACATCGGTGCGTTAAAACATCGCTGTTTCTACAAAAACATCGACGTCATTCCTACTTCCAATGCGATTGTGAAGAGAGCATCGTGCGTATGCGTCCGTGCGCGCCTTGTTGCGCGCGTGTGTGCACGCGTGCGTTGCTTCCGGAGTGCGTCTCCCACGACCGAGGTGGCCGCCGTCGTCGGTCGTGGCGGCGGCGGCGGCGGCGACGATGACGACGTCATCGTCAGAATGTCGCGCGGTGAAGAGGACGTTCCGTCCGATGGAGTCGCGGCCGCCACCGTCGTGGATTGCGCGTGCGTGGTGGAGCGTGGGTGGGCGCGCGTTGCCACGGAGGGGAATCTGATGCCTCCGAAGGACTGAAGTCACGTAGTTGTGCGAGGGGGAAGGGAGCGCGGCGCTGGCTATCAGACTAGAAACAACAACCGAGGCTATACTGATCGTAAGCCATTAAGGATGTTCTTTGGAAGGAAAAAAACAACAAAACATTAACGTTGAAATTAAAAACTGAACTACTATGGGCGTATCGTGAGACAAAAACGTTTCTGAAATCGTGAAGATGCTTTTTTGTAATAAAATAACTTAATTATGATATACATGTAAAGTTGTAGGCTGATTTCATCCCCGTGTCATATCACATTCCCCTCCCCCACCGAATCGCGTTGCGTCCCCTATGTTTGGAAACCCTGGTTTATGGGGTTACGAAAGACAGGAAACTGTTAAACGTCTGGATGCGGGGGGTGGGCAATCGTCTTGAGAAATGATGGCACTGGAGGTTACTAATGCACCTTACCTCCCGAAAAGTTCAATTTTTTTGAGTGTCGTTCAACCAGTCAGTTTCTTCGGTATCGTCACAACTTCACCCTTCGTGCTTAATATCACGTAAGTCATGAAAGTAGTTTCAAAAATGTGATTACTGCCAATTGGTAACTCACAACATTTAGAGATTCATATATTTGATCAATGTTAGCATCTGATACGAGAAATGTGGTGCCGATACTTCGTTGTAATTTTCTTGAATGCAATGTTCAATATTCATTCGTCAAGATATTCTCTTGGATACATATTACACACACGATCAGAATATTTAATCGTGTGGTAATGATCTGGTATATGGATTCCTTCAGTTTTTCGATGTGTTCATGGAACCTTAGACCTTTTGCACCTTTGGACCTTTGAATTACGTCGTAATGGACAAGTTTCCACTTTCGTGGTTGTTTATTCTATGGCCCGTGTCTTCATTGGTCATCATAAGGGTTTCTCTGTGTAATATCCGTATTCCTCGATCTCTGTTTTTGATTTCAGAAATAGTGTTTTGTGCAGT